ATATAATTTAATATAATGCAATTTTAATGCAATTTTTCTTTCATAGCAATTATATAATTATGTAATTATATAATTACATAATTTATTTATAGTTCGAATTCTATATATACATTATTGATAAATCAATATAATCTACAATTTGTATATTTTTGACATAATATAAACACATAATATAAACATAATTGCTCTTTTATTTCAAATTTTATTTCAAGGATATATCATACATTTTATTTAATTTAATATTTTGTAAATACAATTTATTTTTACTGTAATTATATTTAAAAACACACATTATTTTTATGAAAAGTTGAAATGTACAATAATACTTGAAATAAATGAAACAATTTAAATTAACTTTAAAAAAATAGATCATACATTTTATTGTATATCATCGAAAGTATATTTATATTTAGAATTGTGCTTAATACTAACGATTAAATAAAGCAATGTTGAAAATGTATTTTATTAATACATTATCCGAACCATGCTTTATAATTAAGATACAAAATATCATTTAATATTTATTTTTCATATAACACGAAATAGTTATTAATAATTTATTTATTGTTGGAATATGTCATCAAATTTAAATATAAATTATTACCTTAATTATAATTTTTGTACATGTAAAAAAAGTTTCTAAAATCTTGTATATATGTATATATTTTTTTCTATAACTATTTTTAATATATTCAGTACACTTTTTTTTAAAATTATTTTTATAAAAACTGAAGTTCTATTTGGCAATATTTATTATATGATTATCAAGACTGTTTAGCTGCTATTGACGTTAAGCAAAATTAAAAACTGAAATCATCAGTACAAAATTAATCATTATTAATTTAGTTTTTAAAGTACTGATACATATTGAATATTGTACAATCTATTACGTGCTTCTTATTTTATGTCTGCACATAATTTGTTGAGTGATATGTTACATCAATTGCTTTATGCAATTTATCCCAAGAGTATCAAAGTCAGATCGAAGAACACCATGGTTACGTCATGTCTAACAGAAGGTTTCTCTATTTAATGCAACATTTGTTCGCAGTTTTAAAGTTAAACTCATCGAATGTCGATAAAAGAGTCTATAAACTCTCAGAGAATCAGTTTACATCCGTTACGAAGCGACGGAGTTAAAAATTATAGAAACTTTTTACGACTAGATCTATATTAATGCAACAGTATATTAATTAATAATATTTAGATTGTGAATTATAATATAAATTGTTATTTTCTCAAAGATTCGTGTTAATTGTGTTTAATTTGGAAGTTTACAAGAAAAAATACATCAAGAGTAAAATGTCGAAAAAATGGCAGCTACTACATGCCACGAACTTCGAATCGTTAATGTATCCCTGTTTCACCTTCTGCCGTATTTTCAGCGTATTTCCATACAAATTCAGCGCTTCTACTTTCGAGATTTCAAAACCACGTTATATCCTGTCGACCATCGTTACCTGCATTTGCTGCATTTTCGATTTATTCGTCCTTTACAACATCATAAGTTTTAAATTCAATTACGGAGATATAATCAGAACTCTTAAGATTATGTTTTACTTTATGTCCAGTGGTTTCATAATAATCGTTACGTACATCTTGAGCGGTCCACGAATGCGCTTGCTACAAACCATTCTGGAGATTTCTTCGAAACTATCTCAAGAGACGTATCAGAATCTGTCTAAATTAATCCATATCAAAGATATCTTGGGCAATATCTTTCTAATTGTGCAAGTGTTCGTATATTTTTCTAAAATACAGATAGTTCAAGCGAATTATTTGGACATTCTCATCGTATTGTTCGCAATATACCTCGCTCTGATGGTGTTTCAGATGAATATGTTGTACATGAATTGTGTTTATATATTAAAGGCTTGTTTCAAGAGAATCAACGATAGACTGTTACAAATACAAAAACTTATGGTAAACGATATGAAGCCATCTGTTTCAAGTTTGATTTTCAATCAAACAGAGAGAAATCAATTTTTGCTGATAGAACTCAAAATTCTAAAAAAGCAGCATTCGATGATCAGCGACACAGTGCAAACACTGAACGTAATCTTCTGCCTACAACTTCTTGCCACTATAATCATATCTTTCTCTGAAATCACTTTTGAATTATACTCCTATGTAGTAAAATGGGAAGATGGTATATTTATTAGTCTCGATACAGAATTTATTGACGCATTTTTTACGTCTATGTTACATTATGTTATAAAACTAGTGTTACTTATATGGATTTGTGAATCTAGCAAAAATCAGGCTCAAGAGATCAACACTATTATTCACGATGTCCTTAATAAAACCAATGATAAACGTATCAGAAATGAGGTAGTGAACATGTAATTTAATTTAAATATTTTTCAGAAAATATATTGTATGCTAACATGATTCTTTTGAATATCAAATCTATTAAAACACTATATTTATTTTTTTAAATCTGTTTCTTCAATCTATTGTGTAACTATTTTACGATTTTTAATTGCAGTTACAACTATTTTGTCTACAAATACTGCATCGTAAAAATACATTTTCTGTGAAAGGTTTGACTGTGGATGCCACACTTTTTGCAGCAGTAAGTAATTGTTCGTTTACTTTAATCAATAGAATATATACTATGTATTTTTTTATTTTGCTTTTAGATGGTGCATAATATCTCAACGTACATGTTAATCTTGATACAATTTTTAATCATATCACATTCTTGTGATAAAAAATCAGCAGATAGCTAAATATATAAATAACATAATTACAAAACAAAATATATAATCATTATATTTCAATATATATCAATATATCTCTAAGAACAGATATATTTTTCATAAAATGCGACATAAAATTTTTTAAGAGCATTAAAAAAAATTAATGTAAATAATGATATATTAGTAGAAAGTAAAGTATATTTCTGATAATATAATCCGATAAAAGAATAAATCTGAAAATGTTACATTACTACTTTATATTTCATTTAAAGTAATATTGTATATCGTTTTAAAATAATTATTCACAAATTAAAATAGTTATTTACAATAATTTAACAATAGATATAAATAAAAGTATAATTATTATCATCAAATTGTCAAGTTTTTTATAACTATGTTGTTTGTTATAATTTGTAATATTATAAGTGTGTATTTTACATTTTGGAACAATAAATTCTTTTAATTCATGAAATCTGTTATTTTTTGATTGAGAAAAACGAAATAAGAAATAATAATTATCATCATAGACAAAACATTTCAATAAACAGTAGTATATGATATAAGTACATAATGTTTAATTTTTAAAGTGAAAAAATTGCATCTTTATAAATTCTTATATAATGCAAATTAATATAATCATGAATATGATGCATTATACTTAGAGATTGAGATGGAAATCTATAATGGAATTTATATATTATTATTATTTAATTTTAAATATTTAAACTTTAAGATTTAGACTTTAAGATACACAAGAATATTTATATATAAATCTATCTAATAATTATATATAAATTTATTTTTATTTAAATATACATATATTTTTTTCTTTTATATACTATTTTATGATCAAATAATATAATTACTTATATTTAAATTAAATTTAATTAAAATAAAAATCTAAATTTTATTTTTTTTGCAAAAACCATTTATATATAATCAAAACACACATATTAAAAATATATTTGCAATTCAAATTTTATTTACCAATAATAATTAAAATAAATCTTTCTTGAGCGATATAATGTGATTGGTGCATTATTGCAATAATGATATTAATGTCTTTCAATATTTCATTATCGCTAAAATACAGCCGTAAAACAGTTATTTTAATTTATTATCCATGAAGAGCATGTCATGTCTATTAAATTTCATCAGCAAAAAACATTAATTCGTTCTAATCCAGATAATTAGTTAGGTTAATTTTAATCGACATAAAAGCACATTGCTCTTACATTATGATTCAATTCATTAGTATTATGTTCATTATCTTTACGTTTCATACATAATTCATTACAATAATATCTGTATCTCAAAATACAAGTAACGTAATTTTAAAGTTTTAATGAACAATATTATATAAAAATTAAAAGAATCTGTTTTTATATTTTAATACATTCACGCAATTTGTAATTAAGAATAAATTCAAAATGAAATATAAATATAATATATAGCATTGTTCTGATTAAAATAAAACTATGTATTAATATTTTTTAATTAAAAATTATATTTAACGCAAGCGTATCTATATATTTATAAAATTTTTATAGGAATTTTTATAAGTCATAAAATTAAAAATATTACATCTTAATAATAAATAATATAATAAAAATAATATTCTCAGATAGAAAGTTCTCATATAGCATGCATAATAAACATAGTTAAACATATATAGGAAATTAAATAAACATTATTAACCCATCTTTAAATTCTTAAAATCCATTTAAATATTATGTCAGTCAATATTTTCTTTTATATACGCCATTTTATATACGCCTGCAAGTTTTGATATAAAGTTGTAATAAGTATATAAGTATTATAAAATAATATATTTATATTTATAATTTAACATTAAATATAATTTGATAATATAAATATAAATATAAATAGGTTTATAATAAAACATAATGTTTCTATATATTTTTCTCATTAGGATACATTAGGATACATTAGAAATCGAAAAGCGTCATGGTTACCACACAACTAACATATAATCTTTGTAGTATACCTAACTCGGCAATTACTCGCAGTATTAAAGTTAAACTCGTTAAGTGTAGATCGAGAAGTAGTTCGTGCTGGTTTATTGTTATTGAAAGACAAACTGAAAAACTGTATTTATAGAAAAGAAACAGTTTTCGCAGTTACGTCTATATTACTGTTAAAGTACCTTACTAACGTGGTAAATAACTTTTATATAATTATTTACATGATTAATTATTCAAATTTTATTGATCATGCTCAGTTTGTCACTAAAATTTCAGAAATAAGCAAAAAATAAAATGCAAAAGAGATGGCGGATTCTTCATGCTACAGACTTTCAATCCTTGATGTATCCCTGCTTCACTTTCTGCCATATTCTCGGAATGTTTCCGTACAACATCAACGCTTTGACTTTCGAGATTTCAAAACCGAAGTACATCCTGTCCACCGTCGTTACTTGCGTTTGCTGTATTTTCGACTTGGCAATTCTTTATAGTATTATTATTTCTAAAGCCATCAACTATGAAGACATAATTAGCAATCTAGAAGCTATAAATTATTTTATATTTAGCGGTTTCATACTAATCATGACGCACATCTTGACCGGCCCGAGAATGCGCTTATTACAAACTATTTTAAAGATTTCTTTGAAATTATCACGAGACTCATTTCAAAAGTTGTCTAAATTGGTCCATCTCAAAGACATCTTGGGTAACATCTTTTTATTTGTGAACACATGGATGTACTTTTATAAAAAGCAATCAATCCAATATAAATCCAATTATTTAAATGTCTTTGCTATAATATTTGGAACATACATTGCCTTAGTGGCGCTTCAAATGAATTTTATGTATATGAATTGTGTTTACATATTAAAAGCCTGTTTTAAAAAAATTAATGACAGATTGTCGCATATGCAAAGGCTTATGATAAACGATATAAAGTCATCTGTTCCCAGATCGAGCTATCACATTCAAAGAAATCAATTTTTATTGATAGAAATTAAGACTATAAAGAAGCAGCATTTAATGGTTAGCAATGCAGTACAGATGTTGAATATGGTTTTCAGTTTACAACTTCTTGCTGTTGTAACCATAACCTTTGTTGAAACCACTTTTGAACTGTACTCATATGTAGTGCGATGGCAAGGTAAAGTGTTCATTAGTCTTGACAGACGCCTTCTTGATTGTTTCTTAACAACTATGTCCTATTACGCTATAAAACTGGCGCTACTTGTGTGGTTCTGTGAGACTGGCAAGAATCAGGCCCAAGAAATTAGTACCATTGTTCACGATGTGATAAATAGCACCAGTGATGAACAAATTAAGAATGAGGTAATAAAAACATAATTTAACATATATATATTTTTTAAAAATATATCGTATAATTTTTTAAACATATAATCTGTCAAAATATGATTATATTTTTGAGTTCTATTTTTTTTGTTCTTACATTTAATTATGCTGTAATCTGATTTTGCAGTTGCAGCTCTTTTGCTTACAAATATTGCATCGAAAAAATATATTTTCCGCAAAAGGTCTTACTATAGATGCGACGCTTCTCACAGGAGTAAGTAATTAATTATTTATTTTCATTAAAATTATTTACAAAATGTGTATTGTTTATTTTTATTTGTAGATAGTGGGTAGTATTACCATATATATGTTAATCTTAATACAATTCTTGATCACAATGCATTCTTGCGAATAAAATACTACTAATATCTACTAATATCTTGTAATTTAGACATATTAAATAAATCTAAACATATTAAATTATTATTATGTAAGCAAAGAAAGAAAGATAACTTCTCTATATACTTATATACTATATATACATAAATTTATAAGTAACAAAACTTTATATTCAGCTTATATTAGTATTATCTACAAATAAATCTTTTATATGTTTTATTTATCAAGATGTATTGCGTATGTAAATCATAATAGATTGATTTCTAAATAAAATATTGCTTAACCTGATAGCTTGACAAATTTTTTTTTTCTAACGGTTTTTCTGTTAAAGTGAAATAAAATTGTATTAGTACAAAAATTAAAAAAAAAATTTATATTAAAAACTTATTGTTTATTAAAAATATCTAAAAATTTTTGCGTATAAATTTAATCTAATACTTCAATCTAACGCTTCTGTACTTCATAGAATTTATATTTGTTTTATTTAAATTGTACTGTGTACAATATTTCTAATGAAAAAGATAATATTTAAAATATATTTAATCTTAAATTTTTAGAACAATTTATTGTGTATTAACAATTTACGCAACATATCGTTTACAATTTGAGTTTTATTCGTTAATAATCATTTGATTATGTTCTTCTTCAAAAATAATATAATCGACTTATCATCACAACAATTATCTTTAAACAATTCATTTATCTTTGAACAATTTATTATTTATTCCTTGCCCAAATAAGGAAATAATTATATAAAATGACCTGTCATAAAATATGTATTAATTTATCAGCCAATGAAAGATATCAATTTTTTTCTAATTCAAAAATTATTTTAATCATTATAATGGCATTGTTATCGTATATCATCCAATTTAATACCGTTACGTTCTTTTCTTTTCCTTTCCTATCAACGACACCAGAGTTTCTCAAAATATGCGCACTACAATTTATGAATATTTTATGACAAATTAAATTAATTTCAATTTACAGAAACAATTCGTAGTTATGATTAAATAAATAATAAGTTTAAGAGATAAATATCAATGACATCATATCTCTAAATGGTTTAAAAATATATCTTGAAATTTTTCTTTATAAATTATATGCAACATGTCTGAATGTAATACTTACGAAACAAAAAATATTACATTTTAATATCGAAAAGAAAGAAATAACCTCAAATGGTCTGTATGTACAAGGAAAATATAATAAGAAATCAGAAAATTGTTCTTAATCCTTAAAAGTTCCTTAAAAGATAATATATCAATATATACATCAATGTATTTGTACATTGCATAATCAATGCTTCCTGATTTAAATTATTTAATGTATTGTTAATATATAATATAAAGCAATAATACATTATATTATATGATAAATTTTGTGAATAACAAAAACAGATCGAAAAGCACCATGGTAACTTCACGCCTAACATCGAAATCTATAAGTCATACTTCCCTTCTTTTCAAGCAATTGCTCGCAGTTTTAAACCGGTACTTGTCAAGTATAGAATAGTATAGAAAGAAGAAGTTTATATTGTATATGTATTCGTAGTGAAAAGAAAAGCATAAATATATTATTAAAAAAAAGTTATGAAAATCACGCTTGCATTAATAATGTAATTAATTCTTGAATGATCGACATATGATGATTTAAATTATTGTCTATCATAACATTTATTTGACTATATTTTCAATTCAGCGTTGAAATTTCATAAATGAATAAAATGCGTAAAAGATTGTGGCTTTTTCATGCTGTGGACTTTCAATCTTTAATGTATCCTTGTTTAATTATCGGCGGCATTATAGGAGCCTTTCCGTATCAAATTAATGAATGGACTTTCAAAATTTCAAAGTCACGTTATATCTTATCAACTATAATTATTTGCATTTATTGCATTTCTCTATTGATAATGCTCTATGACTTCGGAAATATAAACTATGAGACTTTCAATATACGAAATAACTTTCAAATCATAATCAAGTGTATTGAAACTAATTTTTATTACACGTGTTGCGTTTTTATGACAATTGTCTCGCAAATTTTGTGCTATCCGCGAATGCGCTTGCTTCAAACTATAATGAAGATTTCTTCGAAATTGTCTGTAAAGAAATATCAGGAATTGTCCAGACTTATCCACATCAAAGACATCTTTGGTTCTCTCATTCTTGTTGTCATATTGTATTTATGGGTCGACAGAATAAAAAATCTTTTCAGAATCAAAATATCTTACATAATAGTTTCAGTATATACGCCGATATTACTGTTTCAATATGATATGCTATACATGAATTGCGTTTACATATTAAATGCCTGTCTCAAGGAAATCAATAACAATCTTCTACATATCAAAGAACTTCTAATAAAGAAAGAACGACGTATTCGCGACGTATTCTTGTTTTATCATGAGCAGAGAAATCTATTTTTGATAATGGAAATCAAGGCTCTAAAGAAACAACACTTAATGATCAATAATGCAGTTCAGACATTAAACACGATCTTCAGTTTCCAACTTCTTATTACGATAGGCATAACTTTAACCGAATTTATTTTCGAATTGTATTTCAATGCAGTGCAATGGCATGGTAGAGTGTCCTTCCATTGGAAAGAAAATAGTTATGATTTATTCTTGATATCATTATCGTTTGATGTTATAAAAATAATCTTACTTGTGTGGAGTTGTGAGATTAGCAAAAATCAAGCACAAAAGATTGTTACCACTATTCACGATGTACTTAACAGCATCAATGATGAGCAAATTAAAAATGAGGTAATAATTATGATTTAATTTATATATCTTTCATACGTTGTATGTTAAAGCATTATGCATTCATATTGTTTAAATTTAATTATGTCTTTCAATCTTATATATAAATATTTTGTGATCTGACATCACAGTTGCAGTTATTTTCTTTACAAATATGGCATCACAAGAATACAAAATTTTCCACCAAAACATTCAATATGGACGCTACGCTTCTTACTAAAGTGAGTAATCAATTACTTTTTTCAATTAATTAACAAAATATATTTTGCATGTTTTTCTTATTTTCTATTTAGATGGTGGGAACTGTCACCACGTATATGTTAATATTATTACAATTCTTGATTTCATGGCATTCTTGCAATGAAAACTTTGCATGACATACTACAAGTAATTCAATTTTATAAATAAAAATAAATAATTGATAAAAATTTTTATATTTGTATAATCATCAATTTGTATAATATTCAATCAAATTTGTATAATATTCAAATATATATACATGTTACGTATACATCATACATATATATATATATATATATATAGAAAAATTAAATCTTATTTCATGGATGTATTGATATTAAATATTAATACTGAATACCAAATAAATTTTCCAAATATATACCACGTATGTGAAACATAACATTCTAAGGTATTATTTTTAGTTTAATAAAATCGAATTCTTACATAATTCATTATTATAATTTTTAAGTGATTACAGAAACAACTTATTAATTATTAATTATTATTCATTTCTGTTTTCCTCAATTTATAAAATTCTAAAATTTACCTCAAAAAAATTTTTTCAGACACACACACACACACACACACACACACACACACACATATTTTAAAAGCAATTAAAACATATTGATTTAGTGAAATAACTTTATGCGTTTGTATGAGAAACGAAGAAATTAGTTTTAATATCGAGATTTATCAAAGAGATCGACGACTGATTGAAATAGATATAATAAATAAATATTACAAGTTAGAAAAGAAAAAGTAATTTATATAGATTTGATATTCATTAAAGTATATGAAATAATTTCTAATAATTATTAATTTCTAATATATATTTCAATAATTATTCTAATAATTATTCTAATCAAAATAATAGCATTACACTTCTATGTTGTCCTATATTTATACTATTTTATTACAGTTATGTCCATTTTCCTTCCCTTTTTATCAACGATAGCATTTCTCAAAATATGCACAATGCAATTTATCAATATTTTATGATAAATTAGATTATTTGTATTTCAGTTTGTATTTTAGCACAAAAGATATTTTTTTATAAATATGTTTAAAAGATAAATATCAATGACATCATATATTTAATCGGTTAAAAAGATATATTAAAATTTTTCATTATAAATTAGGCATATATATATATATATATATATACGCATGTCTGAATGTGTATTTATACATAAAAAATATTCATCTTAATGTCATAAGAAAAAAAATATACTATCTAAAATATACTATACCAAATAAAGAAAGTGTAATAGGAAATCAGATAATTGTTCTTAACAGATCTTTAAAAGATATCGGTTTGTATATTATTAAGTAATCGATTTGTACATTGCGCAATTGATTCTTTCTGATTTAAATAATTTAATGTACTGTTTAATGTTAATATATCATGTTAATATATCATAGCAATAATACAAACGTTACATTATATAATAAATTTCGTAAGTAACAAGAATAGATCGAAAAGCACCATGGTTACTTCACGACTAACATATGAATCTTTCAAGTCATGTTTCCCTTCTTTTCCAGCAATTACTCACAGTCTTAAACCGATGCTTGTCAAGTGTAGAATAAAAGAAGAAACTTACATCGGTTTATATATTCATAGTGAAAAAAAACTTGAATATAATATTCAAGAAAAGTTATCAAAATCATGCTTGCATTGATACCAAAGTGCATTGATAATGTGATTAATAATCATTGAATTGACGACATACAATTTAAATTATTGTCTATTATAACATTTATTTGATTATATTCAATATAGCATTAAAACTGCAGAAACGCGTCAAAGACAAAATGCGTAAAAAATGGTGGCTTTTCCATGCTACGGACTTTCAATCTTTAATGTATCCCTGTTTTACCATCGGCAGCATTGTTGGTGCATTTCCGTATCAAATCAATGATTGGACCTTCGAAATTTCAAAGTCACGTTATATCTTATCAACTATAGTTACCTGCATTTACTGTATTTTCGTAGTGATAATGATCTATAAAATA